AATGGAGTGAGGTCACTTGGCAGAACCACACAGGTCACCAATAATTAATCCAGGCAGGCTGGGTCTCACGGTGCTTGCAAACACCCTGTTAGCCTGGAGGCTTTGGCAGAGAAGGGGCAGCACTCAAACTTCCTCAGCAAACAGCAGACATGCATTTAACTTTCGAGGAGGAAAGGGAGTCTTGCTGTTATTGAAACCATTTGTGCCGTGCTTGCACTGCAGCACTGGGTGCATCCACGTGGCAGGGCTGCCAATCCCGCAGCTCACCCTGGCTTACTGACAGGCCCAGGGTTTAGTGCAGGTGGTCACAGTTTGCATCTCATCGGGAGTCTAAAGAGATCCCGGTTTAAGGTCTGTTCAGTGCAATATTTCTAGAAGGATTTGCAGAACTCAGTGCTTTGTGTGCTTTTTAGCAAGCCTGGCTGCTGGACGGTGTCCCTTGGTACAGCTGCACAGGTGCTCTGATGCAGGTAGCAGAGTTAAAGCAATAAATCTCAGCTCCCATTTACCCTACCAGACAAAGGGGTTGTATTTGCAGAAGACCTATCTGTTTTCTCTAGCTGTATCAGTTGGCCTAGCAACATATTGCACAGAAGTTACAAATACCTTCTTCACAATGCATCTTTGCTGCCCAGAGAAGTGCTGTACCTAAGCAGGTTTACTCTGCTCAGATAGAACTGCAGCAGCTTTACATAAATGGGAGCAATTAAGAGGCGAGCCCACAGACTTCCCTCAGATGTTAGCAAACAATTTGGCTGTTAATTTCTACCTGTTGGTGGATGCTTGAATTTCAATGAGTTGCAATTAAACACAATTAGCTTTGTGCACAGTTCTGGGAGGTAAGAGAGATGGAGGTTGCTGCAAGTCTCCAGCATGGGCTTGTGCTCCTTGTGCAGCTGATTGGCCAGGGAGAATGGCACAGCAGCTGTGGCAATGCAGAAGGCATCCTTGGCTCCTTGGCTTGTGGTTGGGACTTTTTGTCCACCTCTGCAAGCACCTCAAGTGCTGTGTTCTTTTTTGGGCCCCTCAGCACAAGAAAGACACTGAGGTGAGGCACCGTGTGCAGAGAAGGGCAACAGAACTGTGGAGGATCTGCAACTCAGGTCTTATGCAGAGTGGCTGAGGGAGCTCAGGTGGTTCTGTCTGCAGAAAGGAAGGCTCAGGGAAGACCTCATTGCTCTCCCCAGCTCCCTGAAAGGCGGCCGTGGCAAAGTGTGGGTCAGCCTCTGCTCCCAGGTAACAGCAATAGGATGAGAGGTGATGGCCTCGAGTACTGCCAGGGGAGTCTCAGGTTTTAGGAAAAACTTTCTCAGAAAGCATGGTAATGCAGTGGCACAGGAGCTGCACTGGGGTCACGGTTCCTGGGGGTGTTCCAGACCCATGGAGATGTGGCACTGAGGGTCATGGGCAGTGGGCATGGTGGGGTTGGGCTGGGATGTCTTTCCCAATCTGAATGACTCTGTAATTCAATAATTCTATGCAAGCCATTGCAGCAGCTCTCCAAAAACTGGCGTCTGAACCAGAAAATCCTCTCTTTCCATTCTGAGGGACATCTAGCTGTGACATGAGGGATGAGACACCATCCCCTGAAGCTCTGGGACCTGTTCCAGCTCACGGTGCATTCACCAGGTGCCTCTCGTGCTGGTTTGGCTCCCACCGTAACACCAGGAAATGTGCTGCACAGACATCCATCAGCTGCACGTCAGTGTGCTGTCAGTCACTGTGATTTATTTAGGCTTTCAGTGCTGAACTGATTAAATTGCACATTCAGTGAAAGCGAGAGTTTCACTCCTAGCACCGACTGAAATTATTGCATCTGTCCAAAGACACCAGCAAAGGTTAACAGTGTCTGTTTACATTCCTCATAAAGAAAATCTTGTTAAACTCCATCTCACATATTTTACAGCCGTGCTAAGAGCCCCTGAAGAATACGTTGTCAGGAGGAATGGTTTTAATCTATTTATCTAATTTTATGCAGCAGGAGTGTATGCTGCTTAATTGGGGAGTTAGCAGGAATTCTGTGTTGTGACACAAAGAGCTTCCTTGTGCAAACACAGGGAGCTTTGGTGGGTGATCCTTCCTTGCTGTCTTGCTGGAAAGGTCAGTGATTGTGGGATGTGCAGCACTACAGACCAAATGACTGCAGCCTTGCACACTGGAATGTAAGATCATTTGTCTTTTTCCACTTAACTTTTGTGCCTTGCTCTGGCCCTGCCTGTTGTTTTTCCTACCCACCCCTATTTTTAAAGGACTACACAAAAGCTGATCTTAATCCACGATAGCGATTGTGTGTTGATCAGTTCCCATCTGCTCCTCTCCAAAGTCAAGTCTGTACAGGCCTTGGGTTGATCTGAGTGATGGAGCTGCTTTCACCCCCATGGCCATCCCAGTCCTAAATGCTACCTCCATTTACACTTCTGTTTGCAGAAATATACCTATGGAAAGTGGCCTATAAAACTTGGAGAAGTCTGACCCAGACAGAGAAAGACCCCCTGCAGAATTTCTCTGCCTGTGATCCGGGCTTTGGCTCTGTGCTTCAGCAGGAGGAAGCCAGCTGTCTGCTGGTAGCCTTGCTCCCATGCAGGAGGTCTTCTCTCCAAGACACTGTGTGAAGAGGTGATATGGCAGAGCCAACTCTCTGCTCCTATTGTTCCTTTGGAGCTGAAGCACTGATCTGAACCAACCTGTCCAGGATCAGTGGGGGATCTGGCACCTGGGCCATAGAGAGCTGCTGGGCTCCTGCACCACTGACCCATAGGCTGGGGGGAGGAAGAGGCTGGTCATGCCCCAGGGATGCCCTGATGGACAGGAGTACTGCCAAACCTCCAGCTCCCACCCACCCCTGGAGGCCCTGGGTGGGGGTTCTTGTAGAGCCATCAGTGCTGGAGCAGATGTAAAGGCACCAAAACTCCTGATTTGGTGTTTTCAGCTGGAGAAATGCCTGAAGCCCCAGAAGGGGCTGGAGTGCCCCTCACCACCATCCCTGTTCGTTCTGCAGCCCCTCAGTGACCAGATCCCCATGGTTCCATAGCACAGCCTCTCTGCCTCATTTCTAACAAGCCTGGTTTGTCTGCATTTGGAGCATTGCTTCCTGGCGTTGCTGTTTGAGAATTACTGCTCGCAGTTTCCCTTTGACAGATGCATAAAAGAGCCAAGGGAAAAACCCAGAGCTGCTTGGCCACGTGTTCACAGCTGTGTCCTGCAAGACCAAGGCAGTGACCACATGAAACAGCTCCAGGAATGGCACTGATGGGGGCCCAGCCCTGGGACAAGCAAGGAAGAGTGTGTTCTTCCAGGACTCTGCCCTGTGATGCAGTCCAGTCCTTTCTGCAGCCAGGCAACAGCATGCACAGGGCCTGGCCCTGATCTGCAGGAAGGGTTGCATTATCAGAGCCTTGTTCCCTTGTTCGTTCCGTTCCAGCTGATAAATCTGCGTATCTCTGTGCCCACCCCTTCCCAGCACATGGGTGTATAAGAAAGGAAATAAATATTTTTCAAGGTGTAAGATGGAGAGAAGTTTTGTTCATTACTTTTTTTTTGAATCCCCACTGAGATTAAGGATTATTGCCAAAAAAAGAGAAGTATTTTACCATACTGGCATTTCTGTAGTCATAAAAGACTCACAGGCCCTGTGCACAGGATTTTTACTCTTTGTATTTTAAGGTTTTTCTCCATAGTATTTTATAACTCGCTTTGCCTTCAGCAATCAAAACTCTTCTTTGGTTGAGGAGAACCTAAAAATGCTCCTCACTGTGGCTCCTATCACACCTCAGCCCTGGAACAAGGTAGAACTTGGAGAATGAAAGAAAGACCTGTGGAATAACCTTTCACCTCTTAAATAAAAAGATTTAATGGCAGCACCATTTCCAGGCAGCACCATTTCCAAGCTGGATGTGTCTCTGGGCAGCGTGGTCTGGGGGTTGGTGACCCTGCACAGAGCAGGGGGGTCGAAACTAGATGAGCATTGCGGTCCTTTTCAGATCAGGCCATTCCATGATTCTATGATTCTATGCAATATGAAAGGCTGCTCACAGAGCCATGTGTAGGTGACCCCAGGAGCACGGAGAGCATTTTTCAGTTTTCCTCTTGCACAATGCAGCTTTCTAGCATGCAAAACCCACAGAAGGGCTCTGCTGTTGTGAGGGGCAGCTGAGAAACGAGCAGAGAGGAAATAGCCCTGGGGAGTGCGCTGCTGCAACTGGAGAAATAGCTTGGTACTTGGACAGGCGAGTGTTCAACACCTTCTGCAAATCATTAATAATAATAATCATCATCATCATCTTCATCATCATCATCTCTGACACCCACACATCCAATGGGAAATGCACGCTCCCTGCTGGGAAAATGGCCTTGACAGGAGCCAAGAGTGACAGGAGCTGGACATGAGGGCTCTAACTCTTTCCCAAAGGAAAGGCATTAAGCGTATAAAATACATATGTTTTCTGTTCAGCAGCTGTTGGGTTTCTCAGCCCCAGGGCCATAACAGGGCTGTGAGGTTTGGGAAACTGACCCAGGCTCTTTCTGCCTCTCCCACCCAGAAATGCTGCTGAATCAGTGAAATGGGATTGTGCATCTGCAGGCCACTATCTTCAGTTAAATCCCTGATGAGCATGGCTTTGAGCTGCTCTGCTCCAGGGTGCTGATGGTGGTGACCACAAGTCTGGCTCTTTTTGATGGAAACCACCACCACTGGATTTGCAAAATTCAACCCCAGCAGATCCTCCACACTCACTAAAGCTGTGTGCAGACCTTGCTTGTTTCTAGGTCAGAAGTGGATTCTTCCTTTCCTTACCTAGTTCTAGAAAAACAAAACAAAACAAAACATGGGAGAGGAATTGTTTGCATAACTTTGTAGGTTTGTAGGCTTGCAGTCAAGTGAGACCCAGGCTCAGCCAAGGGCTCCATCTGGATCCTGAGCCCCGCCGAGCTCTGTGGGCAGCAGCAGAAGGACCCAGCAAGCAGGCTGCTCTCACTCATCGTCCCCTCTGTCTCCTTTGCAGGCCCTCTGATGAAAACCACCCCCAGGTGAAGCCTGATGCCTATGTGAACAACCTGGCCGAAGCGGTGGACACGATCCTCAGCCAGATGTAGGAGCAACGGTGCTGCAGAGAGCTAAGGGGCCAGGATGGTGCCTTGCATGTAGCATGGCCACCAGCTGCTCCATCCTCTGTCTCCCTGGTGTGCAGAACACCCGTGCTTCTGAACTGTTCACCCAAGGGACTAAACCAAGACTCACCTCCACAAAGGGAACACCAAACCCTCTGTGTGCGTTTTGAGCTTCCTTCCCCTCAGTGCCATCCAAGTGCCAGCACAGCCCTTTAGGGATGAGGATGACTCTGAGGGGCATGGAGAGCAGTCACATCCTGCGGGGTTTGGCTGGGTACTGGTGTGCATCCACAGTGCATTGATGGGATCCAATGGGCATCCCAAAAACCCAGCTGGGCAAGGCTGTGGTTGTGTTTCCATCCTGGTTTCCAGCACCTCTCTGGCACTGCCCTGAGTCAGAGGGCAGGAATTCAGGAATGCTGTGACAAATCACGGAATAATTGTGTCGTTGTGTCCTTAATAAACATGGTCCTGTGAATCTAATCCCGTTGTTGCTGTGTTCAATTGGATCAGCACCTCCGAAGGGTTTGAAGCAGACATCTCCAACAGGGGCCTATGGTTCCTCCTTCCCTTTGCAGGGCAGCCTGGTGAGCAGGCAGGGCTGCTCACTCCAAACAGAGAAAATTAGAGATTTGGGATGGCTTCCCCACCGTCACTGCCTCTGCATTGTGTTTGCAACCTTTTAAAGTCAAAAGCTTTCAAGTGCGGTCAGCAGCTCTGCACCCCTTGGATTTTAGGCAAGACTTTGTGCCTTAGAGTGGAATGGAATGAGACCACGTGGATTCTGGCCTCCTGTGGGACCACAGAAAGGTTATTTAAACACAAAGAGCACGTGTGTGTATGTACAGCGTGCTGCCTGCATCCAGCTACTGCTGTCTGAGTGCAGTAAATGACAATTCCAGCTCGGTTTCCAGCAGCCCACAGAGCTAAGGTGACCCCAGGCACCGATGCACTGCTCTGTGTTTCTGTACCGGGTGCGTTGCAAAGGCTGCACCCCTTGGGGACAGAAGAGGGAATGTGGGCTAGGAGTTCAAGTGCAATAAAACAAACTACATCTGGGAAAGTGACCTTAGCGGTGTCTCTTGTTCTGTTTTTCTATCTTTTACCCTCAGGGTAGTGGTTCAGCCAAAGTCTACAGCTCCATATGCATCCACGCACACATGGAGGATGCTGTAAGCCACAGTCCAGCATTAGTGCTGCAGTGGGTCACTGATGATTTCTTTTTTTATCCTGTAATTCTTCCTTTTTGTTCTGTTCTGCTAAGCCTGTTGGTCAGATTGAAGTTAGGCAGACAAACTTTTTGGATTGTTTGCTCACTTAAGGAAACGCAGCCGTTCTGCTTTCTGGTTTAAGAAATAAGTGAAGGTGAGGACCAGAGCACAGGCTGTAGGACACTGTCTGACTTCCACAGATAACAGAGGCCCTGTGTGCCTTTACCTGGGCTTCCTGCCTTGCTCAGCTTCATACTTTAAGGACAGGACATCATTAGATGTTAAAGTTAGGGTAGCGTGATTAGGTTGTGGTTGGACTTGATGGTCTCGAAGGTCTGAGCAATTCTATGATTCTGCGATTACCTCTGACCGTAAACAAGAAAGCAAAGACACTGCTTGTCACTCAGCTCTGTGATTCCCCATCGCCTCTCTGAGCACCATCAGAGCACAGAGCTCCCCCCCAGCTCCACAGATGAGCTCTCCTACCACCACGAGAGCTCCGACCCACAGCGGCGCATGGGAGCACAGAGAGGCGAGACGCCGGCCGGGCCGAGGGCTATGGAACCAGGAAGCTTTATTTACACAGTAAAAGTAACAAGCAATTTCCTGAGACTGAGCTGCTCTAGTGCAATCAAGTCATGGAGAGGGGACAGGTCAGCAGTCTTCTTGCCCACCCCGGGGCCACCTGCAATGGCCTGGGCACACACATAACCTCTGCGCTTGTGCAGTGTGCAGAGACGTTGCTACGACAGGGCAGAGCTTCAGAAGGCTTTTTGTTGTTGTTGCCATATTTCTTTCTTGTTGTGTTTTTTTTTGTTGATTTTTTTTTTTTTTTTTTGGCCATCCTCTTCTTTTGATTTCTTCCACATCGAAAACATAAAACTCCGTAAAGCACTGCTACAATCCTAGAATATCCTACATCAGTCTGTTATCCTGTTCAGCCAGGAGCTTTGAAACAAAGCACTGAAAACACAACTGTATTGGCCAAGGAGGCTATGCTATAACGTGAAAAAATTACAATCTATGTTACAAACACTTCTTCCCATCTTTTTGTCCAAGATGTAATCTTCCTTAGAACAGGCTCGAAACACGTGCGTGTGTTACCGGTGCTAAGCGTTTCTCTATCCAAACCCTTCATTTCCTTAATGCTGCAATCTTATTGCTGATGCCACGGCCTGCTGTCATCCTGAAGCTGTCGGATTGGGTCAAGCCTTCAACAAGCCACGGGCATCTTCACAACCACAAGCCTGCGAGCTGCAAGCAAAGGCCTCCACCTGCACTGCAGTACCACGTTCTGGCAGGGCTTTGCTGCAGGGGTCCCCAGGGAGGTCCTCTAACAACCAGTGGAGCCCTGGGAGCCCCTGGGCTGCAATGGATCTCACGGAACTCGCACCGCATCTAACTACAATCAACAGGATGTCCCCTGGATCTGAGGCACGTACTATATTATATTTAATATTTTTAATTTTTTTTTTATTTATATATATATTTATATATATATAAATCCACAACTGTTTTACCTCTACAGAGAGAGAGATTTTTTTTTCTTTTCTTTTTTTTTTTTTTTAAGTAAGGCTTTCTCAAACTGAAAACAAGTACATGAAATCATACGAAACCAACAGAGAAACACCCAACAGAACACCACTGTGGCCTACAAACCGTCACTGCAGTCTGTGTCTAAGCTAATGTGCCCGGTATAAGGCCATTACTCATTGGAGAAGCATCTTTAGTAAGGCAAACGGGTTGTGCTGTATGTAAACTGTATGCTACGTCTGTGTCAGGTACAGCCGGCGGCCGCTCGGTCACCGTCCTACTGCATGGGGTGAGCATGTCCTAGGTAGCAGCCCTTGGAGGGAGAAAAGAGCCCTTGTTACAGCCCCACGTGTGCATAGGCAAGCGTGCCCTGAGCTCTGCGGGAGCCCGGGGCTGTTATGGGGGTTTGGGACATCAGGAAGACTCAAAGCCAAAATATGGTTGCGTTGCTCCTGGGGATACGGGCCGGCAGACGCCACGTCCCAAAGGCGCTGGGCTGTGGGCCTCCCACGAGGGGTGTGCAGCCAGCGTGGGTTGTTTTCAACAACACATTGAGAGACACTTGAAGAGAGATGGAGGATTCCCCAACAGGAGAAGGCCCCGGCACCGCTCTGCAGGGAGCTGAGCTGACCGCGGCCACGAGCAGACGTAAAGCTATGAGTGGATGGGATGGGGGAACGCCCAAAACCCCGCAGGAAAAGTGCAGTAACGTAACGGCAGGGATCGGTAAACCTGCGTCGGCTGCTCTCAGCCTCTTCTGGCTTGCAGACTCCCAATGGGGTGTTGGACCCCTGCTGAAGGGGTTGGGATCCATTGGGATCTATCGCTTCATTTTCCCTTTGTGCTTTTGCAGAACTTGGGAAATAACCCCAAGGAACCTGCAGAAGACGCTGGAAGCCGCCCGTACGGCTTTCCAAGAGATTCAAACAAAAGGGGACAAAAAAATAAGGACGTGTCCTTCTAAACCAGTTAGCAAGCAGACAGCTTATTTCATGGAGGAGCGTATCTCGTACAAATGTCATGGTCACTGCTTTATCCGTGCTTCAACAAGGCACAGCGAGAGGAAAAGCTTTCAGTGCTGCTACCTGAATTTTCAGCATTTTGACAGCTTACTTTTGTCAAGTAATCCTATGGCACTGGACAGGGATCCACTTCACAGTCAGAGCAAAAAGAGTGCGGCAGCCACGCGATGGTTGGCGAGGGGCCGAGCGCTGCTGGATCCTCATCAGGAAAAGGAAAATTAAGAATCTGTATTAAAAAAATGATCCAGCTCTTACCATCAATAACTTGCAGCAAAAATTGTGGTTTCCATCTGATGGCACTGCCAGGGGCTGGAGGATCAGCGTGGGCTCTGGGCATTGCAGCTGCCCCACCACCAGCCCGGCCCCACCACCACACAGTTGGCAAATCTCAGCTGACCTTCTCTTTCTTCCCCCAATTTTCCAGTCCTCCCCGGGGGTGGTTTATTTTTCCTTTTGCTTTCCAAACAAGCACATGTGTGAAATGGAAGCCATGGCTGGATCCATCAGCTGCGATCCTACGTTTGCAGAAGTTGTTTTCTCACTGATGGATGAGCGTTGTTTGGTGATCCCCATCCCTCTGGTCTCCAAGTTCTGACAGGCGGTTTTCCCAAATTAGCTGATATCTGGCTACAGTAGTTACAAAGAGTTTCAAGATTTACACACGCACACGCACGCACACACAAAATTGCTCTAAATACCTGATGAAATTTTGGCAAAGCTGCTTCATCCCCTCCAGCTGGCAGGGGGACGCAGGCAGCACGGCACAACCCACGCTGACCCCCAGGGGACCCTTCCCCACCGGAGCCCCAGACCCCAGCACGCTGAGCCCCGCGTCCTCAGTTGTTTTCAATCTGCTCGATGTCTATTTCTCCATCCAGCTGGAAGGGGCTCTGGGTGCCCGCCCCACCGCCCTGCCATGGGGTCCCATCCTCCTCCTTCCCACCACCCTCATCGGACTCCTCACAGGACAGGTCGTCCCGGCTCGCCCCACGCTCCTCGCCCCGTGTGCGTGGCTCTGGCACTGGGGTGCAGGCGGGGGTCCTGCCTGGCATCACCTCCGGGGAGTGGGGGGCTGTGGTCCATGGTTGGGTGGTGGGGAGCCGCTGAGTGTTGTCCTCGGCCGCGTTGCTAAGGCTGCTAAGGCTGTTGAAGGTCTGGCGGTTCTGTGGAAGGAAGGGGAGAGAGGAGCTAAGATGGGTGCAGGGTGTAAAGGATCAACAAAAACCACTTTGTGGCTTTCTGTGGTCAGCTCCTCGGGCGTTCTGTGCTCCTTCCAGAAGGCAAATCTCTATGCTGTTTCCAAGGCTTTCGTTTGAGAGCCCGGGTCAACCCAAAGCTGGAGGACAGAGAGGGCTGCTGCTGCCTGCTGGGGACATCCCGCTACCCAAAGATCAGCCTTGCTCCCAACATCCTGATCCATGACACCAGCAAAATGCAGCACACTTGCCTGAGGCTTTTAATTCTCATGTACTTTTCATATCCAGGTAATCTGGGAGTAACTATCAAAACAACTTACCCCAGACTCTAAATGAAGCCAAATCATCCCTTGATGTATCTCTTGAGAAGCTCAGGCTGAAATCACAGCTACTTTGCACTCCAGTTACTTGCCTCATAATCAGCAGGTGCTGCACTAGTGAAGCACAGCGTACAAGAAGCCATTGCAAAGATTAGATGGACTAGATGACCCTGAAAGTCTCTCCCAGCTCAAAGAATTCTATGATTCTGTGACTCTAAGATAAGGGTTGCTCCCTCTCATCAGTGCCATCTGTTGCTCTCACCCATCCCAGGGCACATCACAGGTACGCAGCCCGAGCTCATCCCTTCCCTGTTTTTAACACAACCTTGTCATTCCATGTGCTCTGCCTTGCAGGGGCTGAGTGTACAACAGTTTCAAGCAGAGATCTGCAAGCTATGGTTAATGGACAACATGTAATTAACACAGAACTTGCGGGAGGCCTGAGGACACATGAGAAGTATTTTCTAAGTACCTCAGAAAAATTCGCAAGCGTGTTTCCAAAAGTGATTTAGGCACTTGAAAGCCTAAGTCTCCTGAAAGTCAACAGCACTCTCAGAAGAGCAAATCCCTTCCACAAACAAAGCCCTGGCACTCAAGGAACATTTATTTCCATTTGTTTCCAAGCTTGGACACAATTCAGAGAAGAGTCATGAATGCAGTGAAAATGAAGCATCAAAGTCCTCTGTACTGGCCAAAGAGAGAAGCTTAGTGCAAGGTGGTGCAAGCCCTCCTGGCATCAGCACCATGCAGAGCCTCTCCTCCATCCCTGCTAACCTCAGGGCTCCTATGAGCCTCTCCCAAAGTTGCCTGCTAACACCAGCTCAGAAGAGGAAGTTAGGCTTCTGCTGCAGTCCAGAGGTCTGAGGAGCATTCAAAGCAACCCCTGAGGGAGAGGAAGAAAATGAGATGTTAAAGAAAGCACCTGAAAAGTTGTTTACGAAAATAAGGAGTTCTTGACAACTTAAAATGAGCTGCAAAGCTGGAATCCACTGTCACCAGCCAATCACCAGAGCAAAGACCTTATGGCATGGCTCAGACTGTGTAGGGATGCTCCATAGCACTCCCCATCAGGCAGGGAGCAGATGAACAGCTAAAGGTTCCAAGAAAGAGCCCAAAGCAAATTCCATCCACAGTGACTGCCCTCCACAGGGCCACCAAGGACAACAGGTCAACCAGCAACAGCCCTACCTGCTCCTGCAGTCACTTGAATTCTCTCTTCCAGGTTTTACAGGGGACCTGGGGGGAAAGGAGCTGCAGGAAGGGACTCACCTCCTACATTTAACCTTTTCCATAGGTTTTGGTGCAAGTTTCCATAGGTTTTCCCTCTCTCCCCTCCTGCTGCCTGCATGCCTAGCAGCCAGGGATGCAGTCTGAATTCTGGCAGCCCCCGCAGCGAGAAAGCTGGAGAAATTCCTCGGGAACATTTCTTCATAACACTCTTCCCCTCATAAAATAAGGGCCTGTGAGTTTTTCCCCGAAACACATCTCCCTCAAATAAGGAGATCCCGGTGCATATGCTAGAATAAATATTAGCACGACCGTGATCCCCGTGGCGAAACGCTTGGGACGGCTTTTGCACAAACACCTTCTTTTCCACCCTGCCAGGTTATTGCTGCAATTTTCCCAGTGAAGGTGCAACGCTACGAGCTGTCAGCGATCCCAGCCCTACCTACTGAGCTGTCATCACCTCCCATTAGCACACTGAGCTCCAGTTTCTTCAGAATGCTGCAGACAACCTGGGCTGAGAAGGGAGTGGAGGAGCTCAGGGGACCAGCGCCAGCCTCCTCAGCCCCGCCATGCTTTTGTGGAACAAAGCTACGGGCACCTCGCTGCCCTGCTCTGTTTTAAGCCACTCTCTGAGCCTGTTGCTGTGGGGTACCTTCACCCACAGCCTTGGTGGCTATCTATCTGCTGCTTCGATCTCTTGTAGGATGGCAAAGTGCGACGTGGCACCCGCATCCTGCACGTCCCATGCTTGTGCTGCCAAAGAGAACATCCATTGCTTCAGACTGAGAAATGGGTTTCCTGCCACGATTCAGATCAGGAATATACACAACACTCAGATTCAATACTCGACCAGTTCTTCTCCGACTCCATCCCTAAGCTGATCTCCCCAGGGCTGACTTTATGGAGAGCTGCCACCTGCCTCCCCAAGGGGCTGAGCCATGCCAAGCCCAGCCTTCAAAACCAACACTGCCATTGGGGCTGCTAAGCCATCACCAGCGCCGCCTGTGCCAGAGAGAGCTCCTGGTGATGGATGAAGTGTCAGGGGAGAAACGGCCAAAATACCGGAGGAAAAAAAACACAGCGGGCAGTTATAGGTAGATGAAATGCAAACAGCTCTGTACATCCGGAGCTGGGCTATAGGCAGTTGTGTGTCAGGGAGCTCAAACCCATCCACTATTTTTTTTTTTGCGATGCATCTATCGAGGCATTGAGATGGTGGTGGGCAGAGCTCCAGCTGTGCCGTGTTGCAGGCATGGGATGGCCAGCAGGGCAAGGGAAAGAAGCGGAAGCAAGTTTCCATTCCAAGGAGCTGGCCATCCCTCAGACATTGCTGAGCTGTGAGATTTGCTTCGTTCCCCAGCAATGAGTCTGTTTGGAGGCACCCAGCTCTTCGTGTGCTCAAACAGGCCCAGGAGAGCCAGTAGGAGGGCGTTCAGTGCTCATTACCAAAACCACAAGCAATCATGTATGCCAGCTTCAAAGCAAACCGGTACAAAATGCAAAGGCAGCCTGCACAGCTCTGCTGCTCTATTATAACCTTGTTTATCCCTCAAGCCCCTCTGGCCAGATACTTATCTGGATTGGAGACAAGGAGATGCTGGAAAACAAACCTACAAGAAGAACCAACAGCCGTCCTTGAGGGTGCTGAAATTCCAGCTGCACCGCAGGCAGCACCAAAACTCTGTGAGCCCACCCCCACCCACGGCAGCTTCTGGGGGCTCGGGGTGCTCCCACTTCCACAACACAGGATAATATTAAACAATCAGATGCTGCATGCATGTTGGAACTGCCCTCTGAGAGAGGTTCTTCCTGGTAGGGATGGCTCTGGATGGCTGATTGTCTGCCTTTGTTTTCCACCCAGCTACTTGCCCCCTTACCTCCATTGCAAAACCCTGCATGTATTTTGTCAGCATCCAGGCAGCTGTGACAACACACCTGGCAGGGATGAGTGCAGGATGTCACAGTTTGCTTCCCAACCTCTCATTTTATGACAGACACCAGCATTTCAGTGTTTGTGCGAATGCTGCACTGAAATTCCACAGCTTTAGCATTTAATTTTGCTTTTATTCTGCTTGGTGTGTAAAACAGCTTTCACAAGCATGCTGAGAAATATCTATTATCCTACCAGGTTGCTTCACACCACATTACTAGACCAAAAATAAAGAAAAAAAGGGGAGTTTGATTAAGCCTTGAATATTAACACTGCCTTTGAGAGTGGTTTCACTGGTAGCTTTACTCTCACGTTGGAGCTCTGTAACTGCCCCAGCCATAGTGTGGGTTTGTAATGGGTTTTCACAAATGGCAACCTGAGCCCATGGCATGGAACTGGGTGGGCTTCAAGATCTCTTCCAATCCAACCATTCTGTGATTCCTTGACTCTATGAGATGCTGCTGTAGGAGCTGTCAGTGGGAATGCTCTGCTGCTACAGAGCCCCTAGGAAGTGCTAGAGAGGTGCAATCCCAAAATCCAGGAGGGATGAGCACAGCTATGCCTGGGATCGGAGCGGTGCTGCTGCCCAGGGATCACCCACCTCATGCACAGCAGCCTCAGCGAAGCCTCCCAGCTTCATATCCATTCATAACAATAATTGGAGGAAATCTTCACTTCCTGCCAAGAACAAATATTTTCCCTAGCAGACACTGAACGCTTCAGTATGAGCTGGAGAGATCCACTCACTTGGGTCATTGTGCAACCCTACCAGCCATGAGCTGGTAATAAAGATGTGTGTCTTTATTCCCAGTCGCTCACCGTGCCCATGGCTCCATCCCACATATGGCAGAGCAGAGCTGAAATGTACACAGCTACACACAGTTTGGAAGTGGTGGCTTTCCCATGCAGCCCCTCCAGCTTCTCCTCTGCTTGGCAGGAACCCCGAGGCTGTGCTGTGCTTCAATCCATACCCTCAAAGCCACAGGAAGGCAGGTGATTGCTAATATCAAAGTATCATCTGGCTTCCCCTCCTCTTTAAAACCAGCTTCCATTTCCTCATTACCTTCCTGGCTCTGCCAGCTCTTGTTGATGCCTCAGCATCGGAGTGGGTGAGGGTCAAGATGGACCAACGGGGTCCTTTGGCTGCAGGGCAATGCTTGCACGAGGGCAAATGTGAGCACCAGAGAAAAAAGAGCTTCCTTGGCCCTTGCTTGTATAAAAGGAAGCTGTGGAAAATGGCTTGAGAAAGCAGAACATTTTCCAAGTGAGTCAACATGGCTATGTCCAATACTATATTTTGCACAGTCACGTACTGTAGAGGCAGCGTCTGCCAAAAAATCAGCGCAGTGGAGCAAAACTGAAGAGGAGGGTGATGGGCTCATTTCTGTTCCCCACATGGCCCTGAGCCAGAGCCATCGAGACCATCACAAAGCACGGCCCATTCCCTGCCCAGCTGGGACCCAGGGATGCCCTCACTGGGACAGGTCCTA